GGTGAATGGATACCGTGTGTATGTATGTAAACAAAATGTAATACTTTAAGAATGGTAGATGATGGGGTTTGGTCTGCGTGGTGAACTCATGTTGAACTGGCACACGGGCACTACTGGGTCTGTCTTCACTCGCGGGCGTTTCGTTTGAGTTATTCGAACAAAAAAACACGAGTGAAGACAGACCCAGTAGTGCCCGTGTGCCAGTTCAACATGACTTTAAGAATGAGTGGTAGTTGGAATTTGGTTAGGTACTGCATGTGTTGGGGGCTGAATTAGCCTAGCTGTTGACAGCACAACTTCGGCGCAGGACGGATAAGACGCAGGTCTGCCAACTCTAGGTCAGGGTGATTCTTCAAGCCTCCCGGTAATTTATGGTAAATCATAAAACATGGAATTGTCGATAGACAGCGACAAGTGTTAGGCTCAGCTCTGTATACGTGTGTATATTTTCTTTTTTTTTCTTTATGAGTTATGAAAATGTCTAATTCTTTCAAGGGTCATTTTTCTATCGTTTGATCCTCCCTTTATTTTTAGAAAAAAAGATCAGAGATTCCTCACTTAAAGTAATAAATTATAATTTTTTCAATGAAATAACCCTTTTAACTTCAAATTTATCCTTTTAATAGGAAGGTAACATTTGTTATTAAATTGCTTGCTCAAATTAGCACATGTATATATATATATATACTTACATGTGCTAATTTGAGATTCTCTAAAAGTGTAATCACAAATGTTACCTTCCTATTAAAAGGATAAATTTGAAGTTAAAAGGGTTATTTCATTGAAAAAATTATAATTTATTACTTTAAGTGAGGTATCTCTGATCTTTTTTTCTAAAAATAAAGGGAGGATCAAACGATAGAAAAATGACCCTTGAAAGAATTAGACATTTTCATAACTCATAAAGAAAAAAAAATAAAATAAGGATATGCTCGTGGAAATTGATGTTTTCCAGCAAATTCCTAGCACGTAAGGCAATAAATTGTGCTTTTAGATTTTCCCTTGTGGTGCCACCCTTCGGCTTTCGGCCCCTACCCCATTAAAAAATGGTATAATCAATCAAACTTCGGGCAGGGCGAAAGAGCTTCATCCCGAGGATCGGAGTGGATTAGACTCCCCGCCGATGATTAGTGGTTTAAAAGGAGCTTAGTTTTCAAAAGGATTCATAGAACGTTCCCCTTTTGGAGGGCTGATAGAGCTTGTGTAAAGAATTTATTAGATAGCTTTTCCCAATAGAGACGCGCTAAAACTCCGGTTTGATAAGACGTTTGAATGGAAGCTTCCATATGCCCTCCTTCCCGGCATAGTTGCTAACAAAGTTAGACCTCCCCCAACACGCGCCATGACCATTCCTCTCACGTCCCCTAGTTCTGGATGCCTCTTCACATTTTTTATTTACTCAGTTATACCCGACTTATATATAGGTTTTTCCAGTTCCTATCTCCCTCCGCAAAACTCGTTTAAAAAACAAATCAGACCACAACATTGTGTAAGTTTCCTCCAGGATTTTATACACACCCTCCTTTCGGAAAAAGGGACTATCGCTTGGGATAAGATTATTGAGTTTTACAATATTGCTCGTGGATAAATCCAAAACTTCAACTTCTAATACGCAATAAGACTCAAACGTCTTGCGGGTTTTTCTAAATCAAAAGTTTTTGTAAACGCTATTTTTGTATAAATCGACATGCCATGACCTTACAGAAAAAAAACACAATATTATTTTTAATATTTTCACAACCAAACTTAAAAATAGAGATAAAAATAATAACCCTATTATGATTGTTTAAACATTTATATAGCTCATACAGGTTAAAATCCAACCTCCCAGTAAATTATGGGTTCCCTTCAATTTTAAGCGCGTAAATTTTAATAGCCTCACATGTCACATCATTTACATACTAATTTTCACCCACCTTTGATTACACCAATCGTAATAAACCGAATTGACAAAATTCGTTGGCGAAATTTCCTTCCCTTTCAATTATGCAAATCGCAGTATTCTCATTAAACCGTACTAGGTGAGTCATTTAGGGATTTCATTATACCCTTAAACTTAATTTTCGCACATGCTTTCCAAAGTAATTTCCACATTGTAACACAATGTCATTGTTCGTTTTATACCATTGCAAGGGACAATGTTGCTAACTACCGAAAATGGCAGGGGTTTTTTTGTGTGAACTCATTACTTCCAATTCTTTATGCTGAATGAAGTCTGAATTAAATAAATACATGAGTCCTACTAATTTGATTATATTTGTTCCTTTTGTCTGCAGTTTCTGTATATCAATCAGTTTTAAGTTTTTTTAAATATTTTTTATTTGTGGTACACTAAGTGATGTATAGATAGGTAGGTAGCGGGCGAGAAAGAAGGAATGAATTTATATAATTTTATTTTAAAATATGTCGCAAATTTAAGTTCGCGAACAACGTTTCTTAAAATTAACGAAAAAGAGAAAGAAAGGGACAGTGGAGAGAGTGAGGTGGAGAAGGAGGAGAAGGTAAGAAATTAGCAAAAATAAAGATAAGTGTGTGTCTCTCACTCTTTCTGCCTCTCTTTCGTCTACCTCTCACTTTCTCTTTCTCTGTCTTGTGGAGAAAGAGAAGAAACTGAGAAATTAGCAAAAATAGATAGTGTGTGTCTCTCTCCTTCTTATCTCTCGCTCTCCCTTTTTCTCTTTCCCTTTATCTTTCTCTCTCACTTTCTCTGTCTGTCTATCTGGCTCTCTGTCTGGTGGTGAAGGAGGAGAAACTGAGAAATTAACAAAAATAAAGATAAGTGAATATCTCTTTCTTTCTTCTTCTTTCTCTCTCTCTCTTTCTCTGTCTGTCTGTCTCTCTCTCTCGCTCTCTCCTTCCCTCTCTCTCTCTCTTTCTTTTACTCTNCTCTCTCTCTCTCTCTCTCTCTCTCTCTCTCTCTCTCTTTTAATCTCTCTTTCTATCAGCTCACAACCACGCAGCCACATACGCGCATGCGCGCGCGCGCACGCACACACACACACACACACACACACACACACATGCCCACGCACCCATAAATTTTTTGTGTATGTAGATTTTTTTTAATGAAAATATGTTTTACCATACTTATACGGGTGTCCGTGAACTGACGTCAATACTTCAAGCAGTTATTCTTCATATCAAATGGGACTAATAAATACCTATTGTCAAAAGTCTAATTCTGAATTGTATTCGAGATTCAATAAATTTGAACAAAATTAATAAATATTTCATGTTACTTGGACGACATTGGGTACATTAGTTACATTATTGGAAAGATCATTGATAATCCTGTAAGATTTTATTGTTGTTTTATTGTAACCTTTAAGAAATACAGTAGAAAATCAGAACATAAACTTTTCCGAGGTTCCAAAGTTCTTGTCAAAAGTTACATAAGACTTTCTTGACTCTTGTAAATAATGACAGATACGGCGCATACAGAAAAAGAACGGTTGCCTCTACTTATGAGCGGGCTTGAAACACACGTACTTAATTTTTCAAACGTCAGTATCCCAGTGTAAAACTTAAGTTTATTTGCTAAAAATTTCAATTGATTGTTCCGATTGGGTTACAACAGTAATTAAAATGATGAAAGATGTAATAAAAATAATATAAGTTTTACAAAAAAAGACTCTTGGGCACAACGTTTTTCTTAAGAAATAAAACCAAGCGTTTAAAAATCAAAATAATCGTTCAAAATGTTCTCTTCTTAAAGAATAAAAGCGTCGACATTATGGGAAAAAAGATTAGAAAGATTGAGGTAACTTGAAAAGTTTGATACCTCGAATATAATTGAGAATCAGACTATGAATAATAGGACTCTTTACATCGATTTTGCATATTAATCGCCTGAAGTGTTGGCACATGTTAACAAAACATATCTGTAAAGCGTTAGTTTAAAACCAAAAATTATTTTAAGAAAAAAATCATTACGATATATGAAACCTGGAGAAAACGACCTAAAAATATGGATTTTTTCAGCTTAATCGATTTTTTTTACATCCATACACACACATTCATAATTCATATTTATACTAATAAATCTAGTTTTCTAATATTACATATTAGAACTAAAGTGGAGATCGGTAAGATGGTTCTAATCCTGCCGACCTCCTTCCATTCTCGCGAATAAATACATTCAAACGGTATGTACAAATTCCACTCATCCTTAAAACTAATCCTAAGGTTGTTTTGACGGCCATGTGTAGTATTCGATATTCCTCGACAGCCACGTCCATTCACATATAACCTCTCACGCTAATAAATACGATCATACTTGAAAGGACCCTGCATCTCGGTAGTATTACTACAACCGAGACGCTTCGACCCTTCCCACCATCATGGTACAAATGTATTATCACTAATTTAAATCGGTGAGCCTGTGAGTTACTCGATATTCAGTCACAGCTGCGTCCATCCATACTAAACCACTCACGCTAATAAATACGTTCGTACAGTACAATGGGGGGGTGAACCAGATGTGGGGGTCACATGGGGCGGCTGTAAGCGTTTATTGATTTTAAATATGTCATAAGTCGATCTTTATGGTCGCTGTTATGCCTTAGAATTTATGACATATCGGAAGGTAGGTCACACTGCTCTGTGTCGTGCCATCTGTTCGCATTCTTCTAGGATGTGCTTCACTGTCCAATTGCACCACACAGGGGACATACCCTGGGTCTCTTTCTAATTGAGAGGTTGCCATGCGTCAGCCTCGTGTGACCTACCCTCAATCGTGTGAGGATAATCCTGTCTCTCTTTTCCATTTTCTCCCGGACCCAGGGTTTTGTTTTCGGTTTCACTACTTTCAACTTTTCGATCATATTGTCCAATAATTGAGTTGTTGAATAGGAATATAAATAGAAAACGGGATGCCGGATTTTTTCCGACTTACAAAACTTATTTAATCATATATTTAATGCAAAATATTACAAAATAAGATTACACACACATTGACAAAGCCGAATAGTCGAAAAACACAAATTGATTATTGTATTTTATTTTTTGGTCCTTGCTAGCATGGTCCTGGATGAGCCATTTTCAAGTCTAAAATTTAAAAAAAAATGTTTGTTCAATATAATTATATCGATTCAATGCTATTGTTTTAGTTTTAAAATTTCGAAACTTACGAGGGTTTACTTTCTGGGCGCATTTAAGCTGGCACGGGTTGAAATACGTGACTCCGTCCGTTCCGCAGACAAGCCTTTTCAATTTTGAGCACGAATTCGTGCAGGTACCTAAAATTCAATTAGACAATTAGTTTTTTAATTGACTTGCACATTAGGTATGATTTTTGTACCTGTGATTTTCAGTAACTTTTGCAAAACCAGATCGGCCGCTAGAGCTTTTACTTCCTGGCTATCTGGTTCATACAGAAATTAAATAATTATCTTTTTTTTAATTTAATATAAATAAGAATATTATTTTTTGGTAAAATAACATTTTTGTACAATGTATTAATCTTATATTTTATTAGTATTACCATTTTTCTGAGTAGAAATGTTCTGGACGACTTTTTCTCCCTGGAAAAGAATTTAAAAATTAACAATATTATATTTACCTTAAAGTTTGCTAATTTTATTTATTATAATTATTCTAATCAACTTGATTGAATCAAATAATTTGTAAGAAAATCAAAAATCAATTGCTCTTTCTAGTCTATTGCTACCTGTTTTAAAAAAATTTATCGTACCTGCAATGGTTCGGCTTTTATGATCGATATGATCAATAAAAAAACACTTAAGTAAAATATGCTCTTCATAGTTCTGAAATACAAGAAATTAATTAAAAAGATAAATAATCCACAATCTCATTTAGCAATCTATTCACTAAATTCCATTTAAGTTAACGATTATTCAACACGTATTCGTTATAATTTATCATTTTAAATTATAATAATTTTCATATATGACAAGATATGCATAAAATAGAATTAGTGAATTTGTACTTTCAATATCCTATAATACATTTCATAAACATTAATAATAGAGTAATTGCTCCGCTCCAAAGTGCTCATTTATGCTCTTTGGTCTGATTCTATAAAGTTAATTATCCTTCCTTAAATTTAGTTTCTTGTCGGTTTTATAAAGTTATGTTATGTATTTATTTTATTATTATTTTGTTTACATCTTCTTTTTATCTTCAACGGCCTCCTGCATATTTCCCATGCAGCATCTACTTGCGGGAAAATGTCGTAAAAAATAATCTGATTTGAAATAAAGTACTATTTTAATTATTATTAATTTATACTTTTGTAATAAATTCAGTAGATTTTTTACCTTTTGTATGTTTTCTTTTAGGTTTCTATTTTATTTTTCCAATGAATCTAACACTCGCACAGATAGCCTGGTTAAATATTCGCCCTACCGATAAGTGTACTCGCTTTGTAAAGTTGATGTTTCTTGTGTGGTGATTAGTGACCGTTAATCATTCATCAATAATAATCAATCGATGATTATTCAGAAATCGTGAGATGCGGTCTGGTGTGATGTAGGTTTCACAAAAACATTTTGTTTATTGTGCCAACGTTTCGATCTTTATTGAGATCATCATCAGGGCTCAAAGTGTTTGTTTTCTGCGTAATTGCGACATTCTTGTGTGTCGTGTTGAGAGTGCCCAAAACAATTTTAACTTCACAAATGCCACACTAACACAACCCAACACCAGAGGGCATTCTCCACAAGACACACTCAATAAAGATCGAAACATTGGCACGGTAAAGGAAATGATATTTTTACAAGATATTTCAAAAAAGAAAATGTGTAATTTTTGACTATAATTTTTTTAGACCATGAGGGGAGAGACTTTGCGGGGACAAATAATACATAGAACGCATAGGATGATAATAAAAATATCTTTTTTTTGTGGAGAAATACGATCCTAAATAGAATTTACGGAAAATCTAAAACCAAATGACTCAGAATTTGATTTTGACATAAAGGGACAAAATTGGATTCTACTACTTTTCCTTACAAAATTAATATTTTTTAATTAATTAAATTTTACGCATTTTCCAAAATCTCTCTTTCTCACTCTCTCTCTCTCGCTCTCTCTCTCTCTCACTCTCTCTCTCTCGCTCTCTCTCTCACTCTCTCTCTCTCTCCAATAATGGGAATAATCTTATAATAATCTGTGTTAAATAATCGTCTTTATTAACAAATACAACAAATTTATGAGAATTTATTTATGACAATTTTATACGCTAAACATACTCATAGCCATTGCTGTCATGGTTCTCTTATTTATACATTGATTTATAAATTCGAACATTACTAGCTAGTAAAGTTAATCTTTTATTGTTTTTCTTTCAGTAATCTAAATTAATAGTAAATTTCAAATCAATATTTATGACAATGTATAAAACCAAAGAAAATTTTTTTATAAATTTTTAGGCAGGGTTAGAACGTGAGACAGGATATGATGAATTAGGTTATTTATTCTTCTCTAAGTTTCGGGCTGTTTTTCCTTCTTTCTGACTGACATCAAACAACCTAGCTGTCT